CACCAAGGATCAGTCCGTAGATGACGGTGCTCTGTTCCATCTGCTGCTTGAGACCACAGCCTGGGTTCTCCTCGCGTCTTCCAGTGCAGCACTGAGCACGAGGACTGTACCGAGACGGGGTGTTCTCTGCCGTCCAGGACAGCAGCCGCCAGCTGTGGGCGGCTACTGAGCACTTGAAATGTTCTTCGGGGACCGAGAAACTGGATTTTAATTCATTTAAGCCTAACAAACTTCAAACAGCCATGTTGGTTAGCAGCTACCAGGCTGGAAATTGCAATTCTAGAGTCTAGAATGGGGTTCAGCCAACTCTTTCTGTGAAAGACCATACGGTCGGTAGATCAGGCTTGGGAAGCCACGTGTGTGCCACAGCTGGTCCACTTGCTGTGGTGATGTCACAGCGGCCCTAGACAATAGTAAATGAGCAGGTGCAGCCGCGTGCCCCGCTGCCACTCAATTTACAGAAGGAGGCAGCACGCCACATGTGGCTCCTGGACCCCTGGTCTGGAAGAGTATGGTCACTTCTGCTCCATTAACCAGCACAGGAAGGTAGGCTTCAGAACACAGATGTAGTGAGGCCCGTGTTTCTGCGAAAATGCCTCGTGGCCCCTTGTCACCTGCCACCCTGCTTCATGTCCCCTCATCTGACAGGCTTCCCACACTGGATGCATCATTAGGAAGAAAGGTATTTCTTGTTTATCTGTTGTTGGCAAAATTACAGCAGGCTCACTTCAACAGCCAACAAGGAGTCGCGTGGAACTAATTTCCTAATACAGCACGAGCACAGAAAAGTAACCGGGAAGACCTGGAAATGGGGCCTCACGGCGCATACTGTGGCTTCTCCTAAAACACAGCCTTTGCACTTTGATCTCAGTTTCCTTTCTGCCTTTAGAGTTTTGAATTTTCGTGAAGTTTTCGTTTGAATTCCGGTTAGTTACCGTGCAGCGTAACGTTCTCAGGCGTACAGAGTAGTGATTCACACTGCACACACCACCTGCTGCCCATCACAGCTGCGTCCTTTTCCCCGTCGCCTGTTCCCCATCCCCCCCGCCCCGTGACCAGCCGTGTGTTCTCTAGTTAGTAGTCTGTTTTGTAGTTTGCCTCTCCCTCTCTCTCTCTCTCTCTCTCTCTGCCTTTGTTCATTTTTTTGTTTTGTTTTGTTTTCTTAAATTCCACATGAGTGAAGTCATCTGGTATTTGTCTTTTTCTGACCGACTCACCTTTTTAGCATAATACTCCCTAGATCTATCCGTGTGGTTGCAAAGGGCAAGATCTCGTTCTTTTTTATGGCTGAATAATATCCCATTGCACAGATGCCACATCTTCTGTGTCTGTTCATCAGTCAGTGGACACTGGGGCTGCTTTACAGCTTGGCCGTTGTTGATTGCGCTGCTATAACATGGGGGGCATGTGCCCCTTCGAATTAGTGTTCTTGTGCAATTACTGAATCGTAGAGTAAGTTCTATTTTTAATTTTTGAGGAAACTCCGTAGTGTTTTCCAGAGTGGCTGCCCCAGTTTGCATTCCCACCAACAGTGCGTGAGAGTTCCCCTTTCTCTATCCTCGCCAACACTGGCTGTTTCTTGTGTTGTTCATTTTAGCTGTTCTGTGAGGTGGTACCTCGTTGTAGTTTTGATGTGTAATTTCCCTGATGATCAGTGATGACGAGCACTTTCTCACGAGTCTGTTGGCATCTGGATGTCGTCCTTGGAGAAGTGCCTGTTCATGTCTTCTGCCCCTTTTTTAATTGGATTGTTTGGTTTTTAGGTGTTCAGTTGTATATGGTTTTTTTTATATGTTTTGGATATTAACCCTTTATCAGATATGTCATTTGCAAATATCTTCTCCCATTCCATAGGCTGCCTTTTAGTTTTGTTGATTGTTTCCTTCACCATTTAGAAGCTTTTTATTTTGATATAGTCTCAGTAGTTTATTTATTTCCATGGACTCAGACATATCTAGGAAAAAGTTGCTACGGACAGCCAATGTCAAAGAAGTTACTGCCTGTGTGCCTGTGTTCTACTGTAGGATTTTTAGGTCTTTAATCCATTTTGAGTTTATTTTTATGCATAGTGTAAGAAAGTGGTCCAGTTTCCCCAGCACCATTTGTTGAAGCATCTTTTTCACACTGGATATTTTCTTCTGCTTCGTCGAGGATTAATTGACCATATAATCGTGGGTTCATTTCTGGGTTCTCTCTTTCGTTCTGTTGATCTGCGTGTCTGTTTTTGTGCCAATCCCATACTGCTGTGATCACTATAGCTTCGTAATACAGCTTGAGGTCCAGAATTGTGATGCCTCCAGCTTTGTTTTGGTTTTTCAAGATGGCTTTGGTTATTCGCGGTCTTTTGTGGTTCCATACAAATTTTAGGATTGTTTGTTCTAGCTCTGTGAAAAATACTGTTGGTATCTTGATAGGATTGCATTAACTGTGTAGATTGCTGGGGCCCCTGGCTGGCTCGGTCAGTGGAGTGTGCGACTCTTGATCTCGGGGTTGTGAGTTTGAGCCCTATGTTGGGTCTCAAGAATACTTAACAAAATCTTCAATCTGTAGATTGGTTTGGGTAGTATGGACATTTCAACAATATTTGTTCTTTCAATCCATGAGCATGGAATGTCTTTGCATTTCTTTGTGTCCTTTTCAGTTTTTTTCGTTAATGTTTTATAGTTTTCAGATACAGGTCTTTTTTTACCTTCTTGGTTAGGTTTATTCCTGGGTGTCTTAGTATTTTGGTGCAATTGTAAATGGGATTGGTTTCTTAATTTCTCTTTCTGCCGTTTCATTATTGGTGTATAGAAAAGCAACACATTCCTATACATTGAGTTTGTATCCTGCAACTTTACTGAATTCATGTATCAGTTCCAGCAGGGGTTTTTTTTGGTGGTGTCTTTCCAGTTTCCCATATATAGTATCATGTCATCTGCAAATAGTGAAAATTTTACTTCTTCTTTACTAATCTGGATACCTTTTATTCCTTTGTGTTATCTGATTGCTGAGGCTAGAACTTCCGGTACCGTGTTGAACAACAGTGGTGAGGGTGGACGTCCTTGTCTAGGTCCTGACCTTAGGGAAAAGCTCTCGGTTTTTTTCACATGGAGTATGATGTTCCCTGGGGTTTTCATATATGGCCTTTATTATGTTGTGGTTTGTTCCTTCTATTTCCACTTTGTTGAGGGTTTTTATCACGAATGGATGTTGTACTTTGTCAAAAGTTTTTTCTGCATCTATTGAAATGATCATGTGGTTCTTATCTGTCCTTTTATTAATGGAATGTATCACATTGATTGATTTTTGAATATTGAACCATGCTTGCAGCCCGGGAATCCTTCCTACTTGAATGTGGTGAGTGAGTTTTTTAATGTACTGTTAGATTCGGTTTGCTAATATTCTGTTGAGGACTTTTGCACCTGTGTTCATGAGGGACACTGGCCTATAGTTCTCTTTTTTTTGTGGTATCACGGTGGTACTGGCTTCACAGAATGAATTTGGAAGTTTTCCTTCCTCTTCTACTTTCGGAATAGTTTGAGAACAGAGTTTAAAATTTTTAAGATCAGACTTCTAATCAGAATCTTTGAACCTGTTTTTGTGGAAATTAACAAAGTTACTCTAAGATCACATGGAAATACGGAGGACCTAGGGCAGCCAGAACGTTGACAACGGAGAGCAAAGTTGAAAGGCTAACGCTTCCTTTTCCAGAACAATCTGCAGAGTGAGAGCACAGAACTCCAGACTGCATGGGGCCAACCCACAGGTGGGGGGGGGGGACAGGGCCGGGGTCACGTGTCCTCAAGTAGACACCCACGCATGTGGACGGCTGATCTTTGACAGGTTCCCTGACAATTTGGCAGAGAAAGGATGGTCTTTCAGCATTGGTGCTGGAAGAATTGGATTTGCACATAATTGGGTATGAATTTGGGTCCATTCCTCCTATGATTTTCAAAAATTAATCTGAATTGCATCCTGGACCTAAATGTAACACCTAAGCCTGTAAACCTCTGTGAGCGGGGCTGGGGCGTTCTCTCGCATGTCGTGGGGAAGCGTCGTGGGCAGAAGGGGAGCCGACGAAGTGGGCTTCACCAGAACGACGACCTGTGCTCCGTGGAAGACATTGTTGACAGAGTGAAGCAACAGCCACAGACGGAAAAGATTTGCAAATTACAGATTGAAGGGCTGCATTCAGAATACAGAAACAACGCTCAGAATTCGATGATACAAGAACAGATTTTTTAGTGGGCAGATTTTGTAGAGCGCCTCATCACGGAAGATACAAACAACCTCGCGAGAAGCTGCGCCGCGTCCTTAGGAAGCAATGGGGAACCACAGCAGGCTCCACACACGCTCTAAGTGGCTGTCGTTGAGCACTGGCCCCCCACACGCCCAGGGGGCAGGATGCGAAGCGGCGCGGCCACTTTGGAAGGGGTGAGGCCACTGCCCGTTCGGTGGAGTATTGTCGTGGAAGCGGCCGCTGCGTCCACGCAACCTTCTTGGCCACAGCCAGCCCGGGAAGCAGCCCGAGGTCCCAGCAGGTGACGGACAGGCAGAGGGATGAAGGCACAGGGTCACACGGATGCGGGAAGGGGGCCAGGAGCTGGCGAAGCCGGTGTGAGCCACACGGTCCCGCTTAGAGACAGCCTGTGTACAGCGACGGGAAGCGGAGTGGGGAGCCCGGGAGCACCACAGGGGTGCTGGAAGCTTTGGGGCGACGGGTAGCTGCATCCTGCTTGCAGCGCTGGTGCGGAGGTGTATCCGTGTGTCAGAACACATCGGGTTAGGCACACGGTGCACTTGGTTGTGTGTCAGACCTCAGTCGCCATACAAAACTTTTAAGCCAAGTGAGGCCACGCGGCTCCATCTCCGTCCTCAGAGTCAGCCTGCGTTTTTAAGATCTCGAAATGAAATGGGACTTGCAGGTGCACCTCAAACAAGGGATGTGTGACAAATGACCTTCCCTAGGAGTCGTGAGACGTGCTTTGTGAATTGCAGTTTGTGTTTTTCACCTGCAGACAACCGCCCTGGGTTGGGCTGTCGGGAGCTCGTCTTCAGAAACCTCTCCAAGATCCTTCCCGCCATCTGTCATGACGTCACTGACTGGGTGGCGGGGACCAGGGTGAAGGCCGCGCAGCTGCTGGCCGTGCTGCTGCTGCACGCCGAGGACCACGTCACACAGCACCTGGAGGTCGTCCTGCGAACCCTGCACCGGGCCTGTGCCGACGACGACAGGGCCGTGGTCCGCAGCGTGAGTTGCCTCTTCCGGTCACGGAAGCTGTGGCTACGGGTTGTGGACTTCGCCCTGGTTAGGCCGCGGGTCTGTGGGTTTTACCAAACGGGAGGGCCAAGATAACGTTCGCGTCGCCTGAGATCCCCTGGGGTCTCGGCAGCTGTGCCCTCGCTCACAGCCCCTGCACAACCCATGTCTGGTTTCTGGTCCCGCGGAGGGGGGACACGTAGGGTCCCTCTTCAGCAGGCTCCAGCCTGCCGCTCCCCACAGCTGCGCTCCCAGCACGTGCAGGCGACGGCTCTGGATGCATCGATCCCACCAGCGAGCCGGGGACACCACCCACGGGCTTGTTCCTGAGAGTCTAGCTTGGGCAGGAGGGCGCCTCCCTGGCCCTGATGGCCGTCACGCCCACGGGCTCTGCAGGGAAAGCCAGGCAGGGGTGCGGCCCGGCGTGTGACGGCTGGCGGTTAGCGCCACCCCGTGTGCAGCCAGTCGAGCCTCAGGTTTACTTCCCTTGTCCTGATTGGTCCACCTTGCCAAGCCACAGCCCACGTGGACCTCACTTCGGACGTATGTGGGCCTGCAACAAGTGACCTGACAGTCTGGTGGTCGTCCCATTCTGTCACCAGGGGATACTGTGTAGATGGGATCGTGCAGTGTGCCCTTTAGAGGTCGGCTTTTTTCACTCCTCCCGATGCCCTAGGGCCCGCTGTCCTGACTGCCCAGTGGCACCCATGGCACGGTGGTGCCAGCGAGTGGCTGTTTGTTCGAAGCAAGCTTGGGTCACCGGCAGCAGCCAAGGGGTGTGGGACCCGGTGGGCACTAACTGTGGCACACACGCCAGGCACAGACCTCCCTGTCTGTGCTGGGCCTGGAGGCCTGCAGGGAGCCGCGGGAGGGCCGGGAGGCCTGCAGGGAGCCGCGG